CTACTAATAACTTTTACTAATGATTCACAATTATATCAGTAAATAAACAACAATTTAACAAATTAAATAACTATGGTTGATAGTGTGATGGTCCGAATTTAATCATGTCAAATGCAAGAAGCCATCGAACTTTTATCTCCACATCGATCTCCATCTCCATCTTTCTCTGCGATCTCCGGTGAATCCTCCAGTGTAAATAAATTACAAAAACCCTAATTTCAAATGCTTACATCAGAAAAATTCTAATACATTTTTCTATAAAATAAAAAAATTAATTATAGACCAAATAATCAAATAATCGCATGGTATACATAAATCTTTCCACCATTAAAGAATTCGATCTTCATCACACTTTTAGTTCAAGAATTCAACATAAAAAAATTCTAAATAATATCAAAAAATGTAAAGATTAATTTTCAAATCATAGGGCCCCAGCAAAGGAAGAGTGGCCCAATACTTAATATGGGGTTCATTCTCTAATTTATCATTGAAATTAACATATCAAGGTAGTCTCAAGTTTCTACCAGAGTACATAAGGATTACCATTGCAACATAGAGATATGGATAAGTGTTGCATGGACATTGGTAAAGTGAGCGCGTATGAGGTGTTGGGCTAGTGGCTAGTTAATCATGAAAGAGTCTTCTAAAGTTAGTTAAGAGTTAATTACTTGTTTAGAACATGAGGGGAAGAGAGTCCAATTTGTGTGGAAGTCGTGGAGTCATGGGTAAACATGAGTCAGTGGAAGTCTATATTTTGCTGTAAGTTTCATTTTCATGAATTATTATTAAAGAATTTTACTCTTAAGTCGTTATTGTTTTTATTGGAAGTTAATAATCTCTCTTAAAGTAGAAGAAACTATGTTACATTCTACCAGATACATAACAAAAAGCAAGTTCATTGGATTTGATTAAGAGATCCAATATAAATATGGGGAAGGGGAATTTGCATAAAGCCCTATCAAGGAAACTGGAGAGTAAGATTCACACTATTTCCTCTCATACTTTAGATTGAAAGACCTACAAAAGGAAAGAAATCATGATCCTTAACTTTTGGGATATCTATACTACTTTAAAAAGCACGAATAGCCTCAAGAATATTTCTAGAATTTTGTAAGGATAACATTTACCCCTCTATATTTAAATTTATTGACAAAAAATGAGGGCAAATAGGGTAATTTGTAATTGATATTAAATGAGTTGAAAAGAGGTAATTTCAAGATATTTAATGCATTCAATCCCCTCTCATTAAATCCAACATTTAAGGTATTAACTTGCATTTACCTTCATTTAATCATATATTTAAGGCATTTTTTTTCTCATTATTAAATTCTATTACTTAAATTAATACATAATAAACTAATAATTCCAATAACATAAAAACTTATGCTTTTAAAATCTACCTCAAAAAATAGTCTTTTCGTTTAAGTGGTGGTAAGAAATTAAACCACTTTGGGTCAAATGGACCAACCCATGTTGTCACAATTAAATGATAACATTCAATAATAGATACAATGCAAAAAAATATTGAAATTAAAAAAAAATAGAAACATTTTTAACATAATATATTCAACATATTAAACAATAATAAGTATGATAAATAATAAATGTTTTTATTAATGATGGAAATGGCTTAAAACCAATTGAAAATAAACTATTTTCCTATTCTCCCTCATTAAATCTCATATCTAAGGTATATTCTCTCATTATATCCTATATTTAAGATATACTTTTCTTATCATTAAATTAAAATAGTTAAATCTACGATATTAATTTTAATAGTAAAAAAATAAATATTTTGAAAAGTAATTTAAAAACAAAACCATTTTCTTCCCTCCTAGTGGTGGGTAAGCAATCCAAGTATTCAATCATTTGGAGTCAAATGGGTTAATAAATAATATCGTAATTAAATAATAAAATATATAATACAAAAAAAGAACTGGGCATATCTCTAATATTATATATTCATTATACTAAACAAAAATAAGTATGAAATGTAAGAAGTATTTTTATTAATGATGAAAATGGAATGACAAATTTAAAGTCAACATAGAAATAAAATGATGTCATAATCAAATAATAAAATTTAAAAAAACAGAAAATGCAAATAATCACTAAAATAAAAAATAAAGAAGAATTTGAGTATATATTTAATGTTATATATTTATAAAAAATAAAATGTTGGGTACATCTCTAATATTATGCAATCATTATATTTAACTAAAATAAACATTATACATAGGGAATAATTTTATCAATGATGGAAATGTAATAAAAAAATTAATGTCAATCTAGAAATCAAACTATTTTTCTTTTCGGGTGGTGGGTTAGTGGTTTGGGTCAAATATATTAATCGATGATATGATAGTTAAATAATAAATCTTTAAAAAATAAAAAAGTACAAATAATCAAAATAATATATAATAATTATGTCAAACAAAAATCAAGTGTGATAAGTAATTATTTATATAATAAAAATAAAATATATAATTTAAAATTGATTAGAAAGCAAAGCTATTTTATTATTTAGATGGTGGGTAAATGATCCAACTTTTTAAAGAAACTCATGATGTTATAATTGAATAACAAATATTTTAAAAATGATAGAACACAAAAATGAAAAAGTACAAAATTTTATCGAAAACATTTAGGAACATTTATAGTGTTGTATATTCATCATATTAAATAAAAATTATTTTTATTTATTCCATAAATGAACTACAAAGTTGAATAGTAACAACAATAATAATAATAATGATTGTTTTTGTAATTCAAAATTTCCACGTGCAAATGCATGTACTTAATTACTAGTTATCTAAAATTCACAATGACTTCACATTTTTCTTAAACTCACCTTGCCTTTTTCAAAACCTCTAGAAAACCCTTGTCATTGAGTTTTGTTGTCTATAATTCACCTTCTGTAAGATTTCAATTAGATCACCATTAGTGATCATTAATAAAAGTTGCCCATGTAAGCATTCAAGTATTTTACATGACCAAACTGCCCCTGAATGGCAAGTCATCCTTATTAATTTTTTTTTTTATAAAATTACCCCTAACTGTAACCTAAGCCATTGCCCACACCAGGCCCAACTTGCATATATTTAAAATATTTAGTTTTTATAAGCTTGACTGACCATTCAGGGGTAGTTTAGTCTTGTGAAATGCATAAAATGCATATATGGGCAACTGTTGTTAATAACCACTAATGGTGATCTAATGGAAATCTAATAGAAAGTGAGTTTTAGGCAATAAAACTACAAACAAGGGGTTCTTGAGAGATTTTGGAAAAGTCACGATGAGTTTTAGTGAAATGTGAAAAAATTAAGGGTGAGTTTTAGATAATATCCCTTGTCTTTGTTTAAATTATGGAATGATATCAAAGAGGGGATAAAGTGAGATGCCACCCAAGGGTGAAGACTTTGATACCATATAGGGTAAATTGTTGAAAGCTCCCCCGAAGTTTGGTAACTTCACTCACCTCCCTTCTATTATAATCCCTCTAACAAGAGGCATGAAAATGCCCAAAATACTCATGCAATCATTGTTGAGGTTAGTTTCTACAGAAAAAAAAATACAAACTTTATAAACAACAAAAACAAAGAGAATTTAAAGTTGCAGCTTTACTTTTGAGTGGTTGATATGAAGGACAAATTTGGAAAATAAATCAATTTTGGAAAGAGATTGGAAGGGTTTGGACTAGAAATTCATATGAAGAGAAAATTTGGAAAATGAACATTTTATTCATGGGTATTTTAGACATTTCCATGCCTCTTTCTAGAGAGGATTCTAATGCAACTATGTCAGAAAGTTTAGGAAAAATGATTGCAATTACCAAACTTCAAGGGAGGTTTTAGCAATTTACCCGTTTTAAACATGCACAGTAAGGAGACGAATAAAATGGCTCTCACTCTTGTATTTGTGAGGCCTGCTGATTGTATATTTGTGTTATCATTACAAATAAGAGTTTAAAGTAGCATTGATAGGTAAAATGGCTAACCATCCAAACTGGTCATGTAAAAAATTTGAAGGTGGGAAAGATTGGTCAAAATTCTTCCCGTATCATAATGCTACATGCACAGTAGCATTATGCTACGGGAAGAATTTTGACCAATCTTTCCCACCTTCAAATTTTTTATTGGTAGACCAATTTTTACGATTCTGTTGTTGATTGGTTATCAGTTTTCGCTATCTATCAAGTCGGAATTAATGATGTCACCAAACTTTGCTAAATAGCCTCTATGTCACACACAAAACATCAAGTGGGAAGCAAAGTTAGTTCACCACAAAACTGCTAGAGTGCTAGTGGTCTTTTGTGAATTTCCATCCTCCTGCTCCACTTCTTCCTTCCAACAGATAAAGTTTAGCAATGGATACACTCCGACGACCTATTAAGAGAGCCTTGCTCATCAATTAACCTAACCGTCTGCCCGTCCAGAATCGAGATTTGCTCGCATCTCACACTGACCTTACAACCATATCCCACCGTGCATTGGGAACATCGATCAATCTTCCTATAAATAATAACACAAAGTATAGGAGATGTTCTCAGTCCATTGCAGCTGGAAAACATTGTGAGATTGGTGAGGAGATGATTAGTACTTGCCCCGCCGGTTCAGCGAGGTTGAACCTTTGCTTGCCTTAATTCACTACAAGAAAATTGACCTTTGGCAACAAACCAAATATTGTTTCCAATATAGAAAAAACTGTTGCCAAATGCTATATAACTGAACGAACTGTTGCTAGCGAAGCCGTTGTTAAAAGTGTTTTGCAACAATTAAGTATTATGAAATATGTTTTCTACAACAGTCGGTCCAATTATTAGCAAAAATAGTGTTTTGCAACAACCATTTGCAATTGTCGCCAAACAAATTGTTTTAGCAACAATGTATAAAAACTGTTACCTATATAGTTTTTAACAATTAGTCGGTCCATCACTTGTTACCTTAAGGCTCCATACGCAACAATCAAATCAATCGTTGCTAATTGTAAAGTGGCCATAATTAAATAAATGTTTTTCATAAATATTTGTGAACTCTTGTTAAATTACATCACAACTGTATTTATACACAAATATGTTAAAAATATATTACAATTTCCAAATTGCTATCATAAATAATACAATTAACACAGAAATTTAGTCCAATGTATCCATCCACATATCTAAGAGAAGACTGGTAACAACAAGGCAATGCATCCATTGCATAAAGTCTGCAGTTCTCTCCCTGCAAAGCCGAGCAAGCTCCTCAATAACCCCAAGAACCATTTCTTCAAATTCCCCAATAGAAGCATGTACTTTCCTTGCCAGCTCTAAAACTGCAAACGCCCACTGATGACATGGCAGAATTTCACTTGAAGATTTCTCATGATAAAGAGAATTTTATCAATAGACAAGAGCTTCCAGTTTCAAACGTGTTGGGAAGTTTGGTTAAGCGGACTGCTGAATTTCCATTGAACCAAGGAAACTTGGTGTATCCACCATAGCTAACAAAGGTTTCACCATTGCAAAATTAACTATCAATTGTGGCCCTTTCATTGCTTTCCACATGTTTAAGGAGCTCAATTTAAATTTCAGCAAGTGTGAAAGATAAAAACCTGTGGTTGCACCATGGAAATAATGCAAGTGAGCACTCTATAGTCCATTTCAATTTTCACGTATGCTGTATGCATGAAGTTTCAACATGGAAATAATGCAGGTGAGCACTCTATAAAGTATCAATATGGTTTTGGATTTGTTTCCTTATTCTCCATGACTTCATTTTTCTATTATTTGCTCATTTTTTATTTTAAGTTATGCAACTTTTCCATGTAACAGAAAAGAAAAAACAAAGAAACTAGCCTAAGCATAGTATTTAAAATAAAACAAATAAAAGTTGAAAAAGAGTAAACCAAAGAAAGGGCTATCAAGTCTACCTCGTACACATCAACGGGTAGTGGTAACCTAAGAAATGATATCCATGTTTTAGTGGACGTCAACTTCATCTTTTTGGTGATGGAGGATGTAGACAAGACCTGAATAAGATGCAAGTAATATAAACTTAATTGTCATGGCAATCTAATGATGAAACAAAGGAGAAAAGATTCCAAATAAAATTCCATGTTCAACATTTTCAGCAACTTGAAACCAACTTATTTCTTGAATGATGAAACAAAGGTATTGGGGAAATTATCTTACCCCTAAAAATTTTATCATATACCAATAAGAAGATGGAAAGGTGAACTAGAATAAGAACAAAATAGAAGGATATCCAAAACAAGTCCAACAAGGCAATTCATTATAAAATTGTATTCCTCAAAATCATGTTACCATAGCCTTTCTTTTTTTTGTTTTTTTGTTTTTTTTTTTTTTTTGGGGGGGGGGGGGTTGTGTCCTTTACAAACTACCCTACATGGGAACTCAAATACCAACTCTAACCGCTAGAAGGGTCATTACCCAATGTTGGTGCTGGCTATCTAGGGTCTTGGGAGGGAAGGAGTGGATATGGACCTAAAATTTGGCATTTTTGTATAATGGCCTCATTGGGTAATGGCCTTTTATTTTAGTTCCAAGATATATTCCACACCTCCAAAGACCCTAGATAGCTGGGACCAACATTGGGTAATGGCCTTTTATTTTAGTTCCAAGATATATTCCACATGTTGACCAAAGAGTTCAGTTATTCCAAAATTTCTGAACATGTTTCCTTCCAAGAAAATTGAGGGTGATTCAATGGTGTCTCATAAATAAAGAGTTCATATCAATTTCAGTAAAAAAAGTTGAAACAAGTGCAAGATTTAGTACTAGGATGCTCCATGCATGTTATAAAGCCAAAACCATGTTAGTTTTATACAATTATAGAGTCAAAAACGTCATGCATATGAAATTGATGCATCAACCAGTTTGTGCAGATGAAGAGAGTCTCTCTCCACATGAAGAACTGACTATGGTATATAAACCTATGGCAAAGGGCAATATATTGTTATCTAGAGAGTAATAATCACATTGTCAAATTGCAAACTCTATTGCTTTTGAATAAAATTCTCAGTTAACTTTGCGCCAAAAAAAAAGAAAGCCTACTCTTACAAACTGAAATCCTATTTCTTTTTATTTTCCATTTTACCAGGGGTAGATCAGATGCAAATTCGTGAGTACCTTATATAATCTGAAACTCTAAAAGGTTGGTACTTTATATTAGATGGTACAAAATAAAAAAAGGACATATAAATACCCTAGAGAAACATATTTAGACACTTTGCAACATCCCACCCCACCCAAATAAAACAATTCGATCAGCATCTGCAAATATAGCAAATCCAGATAAACAAAGACAAGTCCATACCCAATCAGCATCAAGGCCACCACCAGGTACTGATACATTTATTTCACTTGACTTAGCTGTTGTTATAGAAGCCCCCAGAGACTCTTTACTCAGATATAATTGGCAGCCTCCTGTATTGTCCACTGAAATTGTTGGAGTCAAGCCCTGAAAGCAGTAGAAGATGGAAATAGTTGCTAGAACGAACTAAAAAAAATCTCACTGTTCTGGTAAGCAAATAAAGAAAAAGTAGAAGAAGCAAACTCTAATCCATTCTCATATTTCATTCAGGAAGGTGAATGCACCTTCTAATTGATAAATTTTTGCATAACCTTTTAAAACTCAAATGCAAGAATTCCAAGAATCAGAAATAGATGTATACCTGGCAATGGAACTCAACAACATTGCAGTTCACGATCTCACAAGCTGCTACAACATCCTGTGTTTCAACCATAAAAGCCACAGATCAGAGTCAAGTCCAATCTATGTTCAAGTCTCATGCAATAATAGAATAGCCATTTTATTCACAAGTACTAACCGTGAATACAATCCCCATCTTAGAGAACTTGTCAACTGTTATATTATTCACTTTCCCTGCAAATTGTTTAGGTAATAATAAATTCATTTACTTTCTGATCATAAAACCTAGAAAAGTTTATTCATGGRCTGGATGCCCAACCTTGTTATATATAAGTAGTTGGATAACCAGCCAAAAAAATACTGGTACAGCTTACGGGAAGCAGCAATGACCTTGGATTTGCAAAACAGAGTCCTTGCACCCAAAAACATATACAGATTGTTTTGCATCACAATCATCAATAACCAAGTTCTTTCTCCCAATTTGATTCTTAAACACCCATTTGTTAAATATGTAACAATAGACAAATCAAATACCAAACCCACCTCTTACATAAGTATAAAGCTTATCAAGAAAGATGCTTCCTGAAACATGGCTAGCTTTCAATGTTAAAGAAAATCTTAGGATCCTCACTTGCGATCCATTTGAAGCTCCAACTTTGGAGGTCCTGCCTTAGAAAATGATGGAGAACTAGTGCGTGCATCTTTTTCACTGGCACCAACAATGCCAATTCTATTAGCACGGTTCTTTTTCTTCATATCATCCGTTACCTTTCTTAGACCTATGAAGGAAGGATTCAAATTAAAATGACATTATAAGCCATCTAAAAAAGAGATGACTCCATCAAATATAGAACATATTGCTCCATTACCAGCAGTCACAGGCTTCCCTGAATTGATTTCTCGAAATACTGCTGCCAACCCTTCCTTCGGACGTGATGATGAAGCGCCAGAGGATTCGGGAGTAAGGAGAGAAGTGGGTTGATTCCTATAAAACAATACATAAAACAACATAACTAATTAGCTAAACAACGATACAAATTGCAGTTTACATATATCAATGTTTTAGCCCAAAAATCCATCTAAAGTTGTTCCTACACGAGCAAGAATAACCACAATTCCTTCCTCAATTCAACTAAAATTCCCAGCAAAATTAGGGGAACTGAAAAAATGATAGCTTTCTTCATCCATAACTAAAAAATTGAGACTTAATAACACATACAGGATGTCAACTCTTCTCTGAAAACCCTAGATCAGTAATCAACAAGAATAACCCAAGCAAGCTACAACACTATCATCAAGGAAAAAAATAAAAGCTTGAGAAAGCAAAATACAGGCACAGGTTAGGGTTAGAAATCAACGCACCTCTAGAATTGAGATCATTCCTCTAAGCTTCGAGGTGATTGAGATTGTGAGTCTTCTGTCGGACCTGAAGCTGAAGGTCATCGATGTGTTGAAGATAATACTATCTGAGACCTTTCTCCTTACTTCATCGTCTTCGAAGAGCACATCTCTTCTGGAGTTGCCGTGGCTTCCTACTTTCTGTCTATCGTTGTCATAGCCATTATCGTTCTGATTAGAGAGAAACTTCTTCAATAGAGGGGGTTTTCCTTCGGAATCAAATCAAGTAACCTTGATGATCATGTTTTCATTTTCCTTACCTTTGGAGGTTCTCCTTCACCGCCTATAGGTTAATGGCATTTATTACCAAAACAGAGATAATCATGGAAATTGTCCCTCTACCATCAGTTACCATGTCCACAACCAGCAAAACACGAAACTTGAGTGGAATCCCCTTTTCGATGGAGAAGAGTTTCGCGCGCATGGCGTATCTGAGCGCCAAGCTAAAAATGGGTTTGTGCGGGTTTAGACTTTTGGGTTTTTCTTTTCTAAATTAAAAAATAAGTTTCTAGCCTTTTTTTTTTTATAAATGAAGTTTTTAGTGATTGTTTTAACACAAAACCAGACATGGTTTTGAAAACCGGATTGGACTAAATGGTCAGTCCAGAAAAACCAGGAACCGGTCAGGAGTTTGGTTCCGTTTTACCCTAGAACCGTCATTTTGTCAAAAACCGTTGATTTGGTCAGTAAACTGCTGATTCGGGTGGTCGAACCGTTCGAACCGTCCAACAGTTTTTGGTTGTCTTTTCAAAAAGATCTCTTGAACTGTTCGTGTCGTATCAGCCTGATCCATAGACCTAAAACCCCAAACCCAGCACGACCTACACGATTATATCAGGCCTCGCACAGTCTACGGACCGTCGTGCCGAGCCGATCCAAATTTGTGTCAGGTTGTGGGCGGCAAGGCCTTATTTACACCTCTAGGCATAACAAAACGCCTCTGTAACAAAGAAAAGCCTTCCGTAACGTGTTATAGAGGCATTTTTTTGTATATATATGTTATTTATTTATTTTTTTATAAATATATTATTTATATTGAAATTTTGTAAATTTGTTATATTATTTAATTTTTTTATAAAAAAGCATGTATCTAGATGATAAAAATAATTGAAATATACTTGCATTTTTTGTTTTGCTTTATTTAAATTGTTATACTTATTTTTATTTTAAGAAATTATTAATTTAAAAAAAAATAAATCAGATTGGATCATATCCCAAATATCCAATGTCTTGCCTCTAGGTGATATATTTGTTTGATCATTTGGATCAAACATGCCAATTACATGTATACTTATAAGTTTTATTTTTGTTTATTTTATATTTATATTTTAATTTTAATTGTTTATTTAGACAAAAAATCTAAATATTAGGATTTAAGTTTAATTTAGTGTGTAATTTGTGACCCAAGGACCATGATTGGTTAATTAATTTGGTTAATGATATTGGTTCATTGATGGTTAAAAGTTAAAAACCAAACAAACGTTGGGATATTTCCCATACATATGTTGATGTGGCATGGTTTGACCTATTCGATTCAAACAGTCAAAATGATGACTCATGACTTGGAGGAAAAATTAGTTCAACCTCTATTTGAGTCGGTTTTTTAAACATTGATAAAAACCAGCCTAAAGGTTAACCATTATTGCCTCAAGGTCTCTAGTTAAGTTTGTTATCATAGTTGAACTCCAAAAATAGAAATAAAAGGTTAAGACCCAAAATCATTGAGTTTTCTTCCCTTTTTGCATTTTTCTATATTTTTAAACATCTCAATCTTTATATTTAAATATTTAGTATAATGTTTACATGTTTTCTTCAATTTTCTTATATTTTATTATCTTATTTAATAAATTTTTTCTGTATATTATTATTTTAATTGTGATGTCATAAGTTGATCCTATTTTGATTAATTAATTACTTGATTGTCAAATAATCAAATCATTGGAGTTAATCCAAGCTTGACAGTATTAATTATGTGTGTAACTACAATTTTCAATGATTATTGCTAAAGATTCAACGGCATTGCCCACCATCAAAGATACAATTCGCAATGGTTGATTCAAATTTTGTTTCCAATTCATTGCTTTAGCAACAGTTATAGATAAAATGAGCATCAATTAGTAAACATTTGTTGCCAGTTCATTTGATTTAATAACAACGTTGATCAATTGCTGTTAATGCTTATCTTTTGGCAACAACCATTTGTAACTGTAATGAAGTGCCTGTTGCCAAAGTCTATTTTGTTGTAGTGATTATGTGTTTCAGTGTCTTGCTTGGGTCCCTAATTCAAATCGGACCATTTAAAAGAAGCTGAAAAGGAAAGAAAAAAAAAAAACAAAAAGTAACCTCTCTTTCTCTCTCTCTCTCTCTCTCTCTCTCTATATATAGTCATTCCACAACTGTACCAAATTGAAAATGGGGTTCATTTATTCTGCAAATGTAAATCAAATAGAAAGGGACAACACCCTAAAAACAGGTATAGCAATAAGTTTCATTGTGGACAAGATAAAAAACAATATTACATAACTGCAGTACATTTTATTATTATAGGAAAATTAAAGAAAGGCGCCATATAAGAAAATTAAAGCTACTGTTCACAATGCCCACAACAACAAAATTAAATAATTCCATTGGCAGCAGGTTACAAAGAAACTGATGACATGTCTAAATCTGTACCCTGAATGCCTCAACCAAGAAGGCTACATTCCATAAATAAGTATACAAGCTTTCAAAGAAGGCTTCTGTACTTTTATTTCTTACATAGCTCCAAAGCATTCATCTAGAAGAAGAAGGTAATAGGATTATTTAGTATGAAATATATAGGTAGGGTGTATAGAAGAGAGTGAAGGTTTATGGAATTAGAGATCTCGGACATGAAAAATGTTGGGATTTTTAACAACGATATCATACATGTGAATGGACTTGAACTTGGAGAAGTCTTTGGGGAGAGAGATGAGATCCAGGGAGGAAGCCTTGTGGAATTGGAGCATGTTGGGATTATCGTAGTACCTCTCCCATCCCAACCTAGTAAGAATTCTCTCAAGAGCAGAGTACGATGTGATGACTTCACCAGATGGAAGGTGAACCAACACCTTCCGCTGATCACCAGCTGGGTTTTCCACCAGGCGAATCACTCCGTTGTTGAAAACCCAGACTCCAGACATTGTCTTTCTGTGGGTTTGGAACCCCAAAAGGAGAGAGAGAGAGGATGAGAATTAGAATTAGGAAGGGTGAAGGAATGAAGGAGAAGTAAGCAAGGGTGATCAAGTGTGATCGAGGTGGTGGTCGAGATGGAAGGGTTGAAGGGGTTTATATACATGTGTGGGGTGCAAAAAAGGACAAATGATGAGTTATGCTGTGTGGTTGCCTTTGGTGTGGATGTGGGTCCCAGGGGTTTAAGAAAAGCAGTCATCGGATCTTGGGGCACACGTGGCACTTTTAGGTTTTGGGATGGCTTCCCCCTCACAACCAGAGGAATCTCCAAGATCAGTACTTACCTCACTCCTCTTTTCACGTCTGATAATCAACTATTGGCTTTCTTCTCACGTGGACTCACGTGAAGTGAAAAGGGAGGGAAAGTGATGTAGAACTCTCTTTTAGTCATGAAACTCTTATTTTAATATCAGTAGCTGTTGGATAGCGTTTTCTAAGGAAAGTCATCAAATACAGCTCATTTTCCTAAAAGTGAAAAATACATATGTATATATAACCCGTTTACTTGTAGTCTAATTCTATATTTTTATTAACTATTAGTTTCTTTATAATATCAAGAAACCAAAAAGTAGGGCCGAAAAACTAAATTGAATTGATGAGATCGGACCAAAAATTTCAGTTAATTGAATCGGTCTGTTCGGTATTTTAAAAAATTGAAGGTATTTGTTCGGTTTCAGTTAACCAATATAAAAAATCAGCAATTAATCGAATCAGCCGGTATACATATATTTCTATATATTATATGTATAGCATATATATTTTTCATTATCCATATATTATAAATTAAAAAATATGCATTATATGTATAAATATATAATATGTTATTTATTAAATAAAATATAATATTTTATATGCATTTCTAGTTTTTTATTATATATTATAAATATAAGAAAACCAAAAAGTTGACGAACAAAACCGGTTAACTGATTAACCGATCGACTTCGGTTACTGGTTTTCCATAAACTGATAGTACTGGTACGGTTTCAAAAATAAGTCCATGGTTTGGTTAACAGAACTGTGAGCACCCCCTACCAAAAAGTTATTAGCAAGCACTTATTTGGTCAAGAAATAACAATTTATGGTATAGTAATAATTCTCACTACTTATTGTTGGCTTGCTGATTAAATATTATTAAGGGAGCACTCTGTAATGTGAATGTTTTTATTTTCATTTGTTTTTGAAATCATCACATCGGTAAAAAACAAAAATGCGTTATTGAACTTTATTTTTATTTTTAAAGAGAAAAACAAATCAGTTTTATTTCAATAAAGAACACATATTTTTGGGACCATCAAGATATTAGTTTTTAAAACCAAAACAAATTTTCAAGTATATACAAATATTTAGTCATATAATTAATTATATAATTTATGGAACATGATATTAAGTAACAAGATGAAAACATGCTTTTGAAACAAAAAAAAAAAAAATCAAGAACATGCTTTTAGTTTTAGTTTTGAAAATGAAAAACACTTATACAGTCAAAAATGTGTTTTTGTTTTGAGAAACAATTTGTTTTCACATGAGATTGTTTTTGATTTGTTTTTGAAACCGATTGACAACAAAAAAATAACTCACATGGTAAAACACTCTCCTAATATTCCCCCTTGGATAAGGGTCTGGTTGTTGTGTTAAGGAACCACCATGTGTTTCCCATCCAATTAGTGCCCAACTCCTTCATTATGTGGTTAAATTCCTTTGTTTCTGCACCATCCATGACCTGCTGATGATTAAGGGTGTCAATGGACTGGTCCCTCCAGTCCAAAATCAATTTGGACGGATTGAATGGACCAATAAGACATATTGGATTGGACCAATCTGGTCCAAAATATTTATTAGATTGGATTGGACCTGGTCCGTCTGTAACAAATTTATATGGGATTGGATTGGGTTAAGCCAATATCTAGTCTATTGATATAAGAATACATGTGTCAATGAACTAGATTTGAGTTGAAACCAATCTAAATCAGCATGAATTTGAACAGATTGGATGATCCAGACATTGAATTGGACCGGTCCAAATTGGTCCAAAACATTCATTGGATTGGATTGGATTGGGCACGGCCCATTTATAATAGACTCACATTGGACTTGATCGGATTGGACCAAATCCAGTCCAATTAACACCCCTACTGATGACCTTCAGCATTTTCCATACACTTCTCTATCTGATGAAGCACCAGAGGGTGTATTATTACTTTTCTGCTTAATCAAACTCAAAGGTACTCTTCGGAGCCCCTCCTCGATCTATGAATGGAATGGAAAGGGAAGATTGATTTCAAGAAGTACATCTCTGAAGATTTTTTGACCCGTATTGAGTTAATCCCAGCTTGAACCGGTTGGTTATCGAGCTACTAAGAATCTGATTCCTTGGGAGACTTTTCCTAAGTAGTTACTTTAGTTGGTGCATGTCATGTAGCAACTACCATGGATCCAAGCAAGGAGTAGTACGTAGCTCAGTATGGATGGCCAAGCTTCTTATTTTTTTTTTACAAGTACGTACATAGCTCAGTATGCCAAACTTATTTTGGGCATGTAAATGTTGAATCATGAATAGAGAAAAATATCTTTTGATTCTGATATTCTTTCTTTTCTGCAGTACATTAATGTTTGGGGCCACCATCAAGCTCAATGCCTTTCATTGATAATATACCCTCAAATTTCGAAGTTCCAAGTGTGGGGTATAGTGTTCCATCGAGTTTTTCCTATTGATTAAAGCTCAGTCACAATGCCTTTCTTAATACAAGGTTTCCCAACTTGAACTGTCTACCATGAACCTGAGCATTGTAGTACCTGGCTAGTGTTTGTTGATAGGCGGCAATTCCAATCTAAGCTTGGTCTTTGATCTTCTTCATGAAGTCCAAATTGGCCCAGAATCCTTCACTATTTATAGCTTCATCATAGTGCTTGGTTCGGAGTGTGAGAGTGTCGATCTCAACTAGGATAATTGACTCTATGCCAAAAGTCAGGTTGAAGGGTGTCTCTCCCGTGGTCATCCTTTTGGTGATGTAGTATTCCCAAAGGATCGATGCTTGGAAGTTTTTCAACTCATCTTCCCTGGGTCGATCCAATCATGCCTTGAGCTTATGTAAAAGAGTGTGGTTTGTAACTTTAGTCTGGTCATTGTTTTATGATTAGTGTTTTGGGACCGATGGCCTTACCTAAGAGGGGTAGATTAGGTAGAACTTAGAAACAGTGTTTGAATTCTTAGACCATGAATAAATTAAGATCAAAACCCTTCCACTAAAATTGAAGATAAGCCTTCTTGACAATAAATCAAGATGAAGAGTGGAGGCTTAGTCAGTTTAGTTCAACAGTTAATCAAGATGTTACTCTTCGATTAACATAACATACTAAATGAGAAATCTTCAGCTACAAAAACAAATAGACAATATGATAATAGGAGCTGCATGGGTTAACAGTCAACAAATGTAAACAATAATAATAGAGATTGCTAACAAGATGATGGTAGTTGATAATAAATGGAACAATAAAAATTTGAAGCCTTCTATTTAGTTTGTGGTTCTATAATTAATTACATAAATATAAACGTAGAATATAAACAACTATAGAAATTAAAAGGAGTAGATGAAAGTAAATACACAATAAAGTAAATGGCAACTACACTGGTGGTGTATGCCTAAATAACAACTAGAGAGAGGACCATCCACTAGTAGTAGTAGAGAGGACTTGCTACAATATGATAGCTAAGATGAGGATTATCTATCCAGGTATAATCAACTTGAGATTCATGCAGTTGTTAGCTGTTGTTGAAATCGTAAGGACAGTTTAACTACTGAAAGTAAATATAGTTAAATAATAAATGAACAATCAACAAAAGCAATTGTAAATGTAAATGCAAAGTAGTTAGTAGGGTTAATAATGTTAGATTTTAATAATTGCACTAAATGACCTTGTATCTTGTATATGAAAACAAAGAAAGACAAAATAAAAAAAGATTTGCAAGATCTCAAGGAATCAAGTTATTGTAGTTATGAGAATGTTAGCAACAAAAAATAAATTGAAAAACTTGAAAGAAAAGAAAACAAACACACAAGGCATACCGGAATTATATAGAGGTTTGGCCAACCCAGCCTATGTCCTCTACTCCAGACCACCATTGAGGATTTTAGCTAACCAATTGGACTTCAACGGGTGCCTGTAATACCTGAAATTGGTTAGACTTCGTAGGTGCCAACCCAAACTGAGCTATTTGGGCTTCCAGGTGGCTGCAAGACCTTAATGGTGTTCAACAAGTTGAACATTTACATTTTGAAGGATATTTCTTTCTTTAGCTCCAGAGCAAGTACACAAACAAGAAAGGCCTCTTAGTTGGCAGATATAAACAAATACAAAGTCAAACTAAAACTAGTTTGCTAGAGTTCTCATCAAATATTTAGCTTAATGAAGAGACTCTCAGTAGATGGATGAGATTGTACAAGTTCAATGGCTTCTCATCTTTGTTCACTTGTAACACTAGCTTAGCTTGCTCCCTTAGGCTTCGTTTATTTGTGGAATGGGAATGGGAAAAGGGAAATATTTTAAAAATATTCCTTTTTCCTTTATTTGTTTTAAGAAAAATAAAGGGGATGAGATGAGAAAAATGTGGGATGCGAGATTCCAAAATCGAGTAGGCAGGATCACACTAAAACAATGCAACCCCAATGAGAAAACTATACTGAGAAAATTTATCGGGTCTTGTCAAAATAGAGCCTTAAGAGACTCTTTTTCTTCAACCTCAACCCGTTCCAACAGTTGGATCTCCAACGATTTCTCTGGTTGTTTCATTCAAAGGTAAGACTAGATTCATCTTCTAGTCATTTTCTTCAATGTCTCCGACAAAGGTTTGGCCAGAGTGTAACTCCATTCTTCTTTGATGACCTCCATTACCTTTTGTTTTCATTTTCTCCCAAGTCTAATCACCTGTGATATCTGGTCAGCTGGTGTTCAT